TATCGAGCGAACGCCAAAAAGGCTGTTGTCAGCAACAAACCTGATTGAACCAATCACAACTGAAAGTACAGATACAACACGGAGGAGATGGGATTGACTACCTGTTGTGCATGGCAGAAGGGCGTACGGCTAGCTGGGAAGGGCTGAAAGCCTGTAGTAGGTATCATTCAAACTAAAAGCGAGTGTTGCCCTTCTATGAGCCCTACAAAGCACTCGACTCTTAGCATGTTCGTTCAATTCGGTTTCTTCGATTGCTGAGCAGAACGCGATGGCCGAAGCATACCATAGCAGTCAACAAGAAACTGCCGCTCGAAGAAAAGAACATGCAGAACGTAGATACCGGCCACTGCACCCATGCTAATTAGGTCTCCAAGGACGCCGAACCTTCCAACAAATCCAATCGCAGGTTTTGTTCGCATCAATGTAGGTATGATGGCAGCGGGTGCCACTGCGGTAAGGGATGGCAGCGTCTCAAGTACATTGAACTCGGAGCCGTTTCTCGAAAAGAACCTCCTGATGAACCAGGTATTCCAGACGATACGCAGACCCATGTTGACTGTATTTGCAAGCACCACACCGTTGCCTCCCATCTCAAGCTTCCCGATAAAGAACCATGCACTGCCTGCGAAGAGTGCAAAGAAGATGCCCATGGAAACGGACTGTGCATATAGCTCTTTGTTGGTGGCCACCGCGGCTACAAAAGCCTCAGTCACTCCGTTGATAGCGAGGAAAGGTATGTAGTAGCAGTACGTTGACAGCACCTTTGAAGCCGAGGTCGCAGACCACTTTTGCCCTGCGACGATGGAAAGGAGCACAGGAGCCAGTTCAGGTCCCAGTGTGACTGCAAACAAGGAGATGATTCCATAAAGACGAAGTATGGTACTCAAGACTCTAGAAGCTTGCGCAAGGTTGTCCTTTTGTTCGTTTAACTTCTTCGGATCTTTCTTCTCTGTTCCAGGCGACGATCCTACATTGGCGCATAGTTTTGCAAACATGTTCCTGCTACTTTCTTCGATGGGCTGGAAAAGCATGCGTGCGATCAAACCTCCATAGTTCGAGGCAAGCGCATAGGCGCCTTGATCTGCGAGAGATGCCAATGTTGTTATAAGAAGAGAGTCCCCCTGGGTGAGAACATACTTCAGAGCCGATTGCAGACTAAGAGACGCAGTCAGTCGCAAAAGAGGAGCCGAGAAGTAGTTTATCAAAGTCGGACTCTCCTGAGTTGATGGAACTCTTTCCGGGAACAGCGAAAAGCCATCGTTCTTCGCAACAGGCCACGTTTTGTACGAATACATGATGAGCAAAGCCAAGGCGTACGCCAACTGTCCGATGGCGAATGGCAAGACTCCGATGTCTAGACCAGCTCGACTAGCCAAGATCGCTGAGCCACATGTACCGATGCAGCGCAGCAAAGTAGCAGAGCTCTCAGCCGATGCTCGAACCTTGTAGAGCAGCTTCTGCTGTACAGCCGAAAATGCCGGCTCGCTGAGCAATTCCAAGAAGGTGGCCAGACAATACACAAGCAACGCTTCCACAAAGTACGGAACATGCGGCGTATCGGATCGCAGCCATAGTAGCGCGAGAAGATACGCCAGAGGCGTGCCGAACAGGACAGCCAAATATGAAAGGTTGACGACTGCCTGCGTTCCTTGTGCCTGACGTTGTAAAGCCACACGCAGACTCTCGCGCGCAAAATACAACACGGAGATGGAAAAGAGCTCAAGTTGAGCTGAGACGCCCAATAACTCTGGTGATAGGAACCTCAACAGAACCTGGTTGACGGCAAACGTCAGCGCCCGAGAAGCCACCTGCAGTAGGATGAGAAAGGTGGCTCCCTTCGCGGAAGCGGAAAGTATTGAATTCGACATGGTAAAGCCTGGGTCTGACCGGAAATGACGAGGAAGCTTTGGAAATGATGTAAATTAAGTTCAGGACGGCATCTTGATTGGTTGTGACGTTGTGGATGCGGTGTGTTTGAACAGCTGTGGTCGTGGAACGGGAGCTGTCGGTGTCTGAGAACGGTTAAGCGTGTTTGTTCTCCTGCGAGGTACAGCTCAGGCCTTGCTCCAGCTTGATGACACACGACACGACACGATGTGAGTCTTAATCAGCGCACAACACACGACTAACAATGGCTCGAATTTCAATTCTCATTCCGCACGCTGGAGACGATGGTGGTGGTTGACCCGAATTTGTTTGCGAGGACCGAACGGCTGCTGTTGCGACCGTTGCGCCTCGAAGATGCAGAGGATATATTGTTGATGCGGAAGCATCCGGAGGTTATGATGCATACTTCTATTCTCCCTTCGGATGATCTTGAGGGTGCGAAAGCATGGATACAAGGTGTAAGCATATCGTCCCGTCAATTACAATTGTACATATACTAACCATCAGCAGTGCCACCAGGTTGAAGGGAACTGGAACTTCGCAATCGTCCTCCTAGCGCCACACGAAGGCCCCGATGTCATCGGACTGATCGGAGCAGTCCGCGCCCCAGAGATCGGCTACATGTTCAATGCCTCGTACTGGGGCCATGGGTATGCTACCGAAGCGTTGCGCGCATTTATGCCATTGTTCTTTGAGCATTACTCGGGACGCGACTTGGCAAATTACATGCCGGAAGTCCTCGGACGAGCCGCACACAATGGAAATACAAAGGATGAGCATGTAGAAGGCGATGACAGGATCATCAGGAACAGGCTTGCGCCGAGATACGACTATGCAGAGGCACATACCGATACCGAGCTGGCATCTAGTCAGAATGTCTTGGAGAAAGTTGGTTTCAAGCTACACGAGAAGAGGGAGAATGACTTTGACAATCCTGTCCTGGGATTGCGGTCGACTTATATTTACAGGATGTACAGAACTGCTGCTGAAGCAAAGCTTCCTAGGTAGTCTCGCATAGGAGCAGAGTATCTAGATAAGCCAGCTTCGCGCATACCATCAGTTCTTCTGTAACATATATGTAGTATCACCAAGTCACTTTGGCCATTGAATGGTCGATCCCGTCTCCTGTTTCACCTCGGAAACGTTCTGCAAGCTCGCAAGCTGTGGCCTCTGATTCTTTGATACCCTTCCTTTTCTTGTTTCTCTCCATGTCACTATCACTTGATTCATCCTCGCAGGGCGTGGTCACTATACCACCCAACATCTTTCGCAGCCTTGGGTCATCTTCAAGTTCTGGACCAGCATCGCTATGTTCTTCTGCAGCGATGTCACAGTTGTCAGTCTGATGGGTGATGTGCTTGTCGGTGTGTACTTCTGTAAAGTAGTCAACAGCTGATGTGATCAGACTCGACACGGCTGACTGGGAGGATGAGACAGTAGAGGGCGGTGATACGGGGCCAGTGTATCTGTGTCGCCAAAGGGGTATCTTCCATTGAGATTGCTGGTGGCGTTCAAACTCTGGCGTGTCTGGTATATCGTCGAAATATTCCTGAGGAGCGATAAGGTCGCCTCGTCCGCAAGCCCTCATCATACCTTCCCCAGAAGACCCTGGACACCAACTTGCATTTGGTGTAACAGATGTACGATGTGTTTCAGGTATTTCAAAAGAGTAGTTGAGTGGGCTTCCTATGGACGGGTCTGAGCCGTGACGCTTTCCGTCTTGTGGACTTTCGACAGGTGTTGCCTCTTCCGTCTCGAATCCGATTCGCGGAGCCGACTGGGTATGCCGGAGACGATGTACTGAGGGTATACGTTGAACTGGCTGGGAACTGATGTCTTGACGCTCAGAGCGATTTTCATGCGTGCGTTCAAAGCGCAACTGCTTTTGCCTCTTTTTCTTCGAAGAAATTCGGGCTCGGTTCAGAAACATGGTGTTGTGCTTACGACGATAGTTCTTTGGCACTGCTGCCTGACATATGAGTCGTGAGAAGAACCCAGGCTCCGACGATGAGCTAGAGCTCTCTCTTGATAAGGAGCCTCGTGAGTCCTCGCGTACGACAATGGCTGGTGGTCCGTCTGTCCACCCGCTTGCCGCAAATTGTGGAACACAATCGCTGCTTTGCTTGCGTGATTTGCGTTTCTGACTGACATGCTGTGCTAACTTCTCTTCGTTCGATGGCCCAGCGTAAAGGTCGGGCCATGAATCCGTTTCAGAAGGTGGGCGGGCTTGATGACCCGCGGCTGGAGAGAAGCGGTAATGAGAATGAGATCGTAGAGCTGTAATGAATCTCGTCTCTTTGCGCTGCTGGAACAAAGGAATGTGATTTGCGCTCGAAGGGGGTAGGTGAGTATAGGAAGCTGCTAGTAATTGCAAAGCAATGACGCGGACGAGAGTTTCAAAAGCAGTCGTCTTGCTTGAAGAGGTAGCTGGCAGGAATTCGTGGTTTTCTAACTGTCGGAGTAGCTGGGTAGCAGTAGGAAGCGCCTGTGCATGTCAGGACAAAGACAAGTCGATTACACAAGTAGCTCACTCGACGAGGCTGCCGTGCTCTGGGCGTCCAGAATTCATCGCATTCTTGCGACTGCAGCCAATCCGCAATCTCTCTTATGATTCGTGCCTCAGCTTTCGCAGATGTGAATAATTCATTCGGGGTATCTTGCCGGTAATCCTCCTTGAGGCGGGTCACGTATCCACCGTTTTTGCCAAACAGCCAATGTAAGGAGAGAGACTGCGTGTCGGAAGTGTCCACAGGCTGTTCTGGAATTATGCGGATACTGAGCTTGCCTGGTGGTCGCTGCATCGGAAATAGGTAGAGGTGGATTGTGTGCAGAAAGTAAGAGACAAGGGAAGTCAAGTAAAATATCATAGGTTGATGTAAGAGACGATCGAGTGCATAGAGCCCGCGTCAGAAGGAATTGCCATGTGCGATCTGGAACAAAGATACCCCCAAACGTCTTCCTATGTGGTAGGCGCACTGGTGATGGCGTGGAAGGCTCATGCCATACATGGTGGCACCGTATACGAGGGAAAAACCGAACAGGTAAAGACATAACAAGCTTTACCCTGCAGCCTACATTATCTTCTAATAAGAAAACTTATTAAGATTAACAGTATTGTAGTCTTCTAGGCTTTTAATCTATATCTATATAGCTCTCTGTATGCTCTTGTGTAGTAGGAAGGAGTACTCTTAAAGAGGAAGTTTGTTTTTTCTCTTTGATACAGTGGTGGCGCAACTTCGTTACAGAGACTCCATCGTAACGCTCTCTCCTACCATGCTCTGCATTTTGTGTCGAAACATCTGCAGTCATCGGGCCTCGAATTTTCATGCTCCTGTCCATGTTCAAGGTTGCGCCACTACTCGTTCGTATGAAGGAGCATACAGTGGTCCTACTTCTTTTGGCCTCTGCTTTCCCATGCACCTCATGTGCCACCCATGGGCGAGTCATCATGTGTTTTCGACGTGCCAGAATCTGCACCAGCAGAGCCTATCACTGCCTTCTCCGCCACCAGATGCGAGCCTTCTGACGTTTTCGCGATTACCAAGCGCGACTTCTCCCCTCTCTTTGCTTTGGCTTCATTCAGCCTGACGAGAAAGCTCGAGGACGCGGATGAGCCCTGGTTACTTGTAGCAGTCTGAGTGTTCGCAGTGGTCGGGATGTTCCTCGCAGCGTTCTGGTCATCGCCTGGAGTATGCGTGACCTCAGTCGCCTGTTCTGCATCGCCAGCGTTGTCGACAAGATCATCGCGCGGTCGCAGACGTCCAACCTTTGCTACCAGCTTTGCGGATCCCAGAGCCAACAAGTCGACTGATGGCAGAGACCGCAGGACCTGTGATTGAGTCGAAGCGTTCGCATCTGGCTTCACGAAAAACATGTCGGTTCCGATGGTCGACGTCCAATGGCAACTTAGTAACTGGCCGTTATACATGATCAGTGGATTCGATGTGTGAAGGCCGACGACTTGGACTTCTCCCATGGTAGCCGTCTCTTGCACATCGTTATTGTTGTTGGCAGCGAATTCAGCTGGTTGACCTCGCGCTGCATTCAGCGCACGCAATCTGCTCTTGAGTAAAGTTGGGTGACCCGGTCTACCCTGCGAGACCATGGGAATTTGCGCAGAGGGGACATTGGACAAGTCGAGCGGGATATAAAAATCTTCTGTCTCATTGTCGTCGTACTCGTACTCCCATTCATCCTCTTCGGGTTTGGCCATGGTTAGCGGCTTTGTCGTGCGTTGGCGCAAGCTTGAAGGATTGCAAGGTCAGCAGTGGTGGGGCTACTTGACAGAAGCGTACGAATTGACAACGAATTTGCTTGAGCGCCTAGCCTCAGCATGTAGCAGCTCGCTAACTTAGATGAGATTATAAATATTATATTTGGTCATTCTTCCATCCAAACCAAGCACGGTTTCGTTACGAAACATTCTCCCCGTAGCTCAGTTGGTTTAGAGCGTCTGACTGTAATATCTGCTGTTATCAGAAGGTCCCTTGTTCGACTCATGGTGGGGAGACAGTTCTATCTTTTTTGGCCGTTGCAAGTTCTCTTTTGCCATAAGATGATGGTAGGATGGATATTATTGCGCTCAGCCTACCATGCTTGTTTTTTGTATAGCGCGATCAACCAACAAGGGCGTTGCTACTCAGACCTCGTTCCCATGCTTCCAATCTGGCCCTTGTCTGGGGACTTCCACAATCCAGATCCGTCATAGAGTGGCAGAAGCATGCAACAAGCCACAGCTAAGACCAGTCAACCCCTCCCCATAGTGTGGATAATGGGTGTGCAGCAGCCCGTGCCTGGAAGCCAAGTTGCGAGCCGCATGGCTGCCGAGGTCCCCGCTGCATCTCTAACTAGTGGTGACGACGTGCGCCCAGCCGGCAGCTATCAGACATGCATCAAACACCAAAGATACGCGCCACCTCAATTCCAGCTTCCATCGCGCATCTTCTTCCATTGTTACATTGTGCGTAAGCTCACATCGAACGCTTCACATCCTCCAAGTCTGGTTTTGGTATCAAATCGGCTGGCTACGGCCTTCTATCCGCATCAGTAAGTGTGCTTCCGCGCATGTCCGGCCAGATTATAGCACTTCAAGTCATCATGACCTTTCCGTCACCTCCGCGCCCTCCCCACTTTTGCATATGCCATTAGCTCAATTCACATGTTTGTGGACCTTGCGATGGCCTCCATGCTGCCGATCATGCCGGTTGTTACCTACACTTGCCATCACCGGCATCGCGTCGCATGGTCGATTGCAGGATCTCGAAGCCACACCTGCCACACCTGACATCTTTTTGTCAGCCATCCGGCAGTATCGGCTTCAGGTCGTTCCTACTCCGCTTCAAACGTTCCCTGCCTTGCCTGTTTGAGCCTTGGATGAAAAGCTAACCAGTCAGTGCCCATTGTCCCATACCTTCAACATGGCGGAGGGCAGGTCCCACTTCAGGCGGTCCTTCCGTCATCGCTTCCTTCGTCATCCATATCTTCAATAGATGTACCTGAGTACGCTCCGATAGCAATATATCCTCCGACCGAATCACCAAACGCTGCGCAGGACGCTTCCGAAACTCAGACCCTACCCACCATCGACATTCCTATAGCGCATTCTTCCCCATCAGAGCCAGCTGCGGAAGCTTCCACGTCTCTCGCTGGCCTCGACAACTCGTTGAACGAGGACGACGTTCAAATGAAGGGCAGGAAACCCGCCATCGCCGCTGCGGGCACCTTCTTTGGGTTGTTCTCGTTCTCGCAACTATACCAAAACGTTCTTTTTGAAAACTTGACCCCCTCGAGCGAACGCGCAGATGAGGCGGAATGGGTCGCATCGTCACGGTCCTGGGTAGACCGGAAGGCTTGTGGTTGGTTCGGTATGTGTGGCCTGTCGCACCTGAACAAGGCACAATGGACTACGCAGACATTCAAGGCCCACAGCCAGAAGACAACGGAGGACAGGGATGAAGTCAAGTTGAACTTGAATGACTTTTGGAACGATGCGCGGAACATCCCCGCTGATTACACGCCGGACGAGGCACTCGAGGTACCGCAATATGTTTTGGACCACGCGCCGCTCATTCATCTCTTCTCAGGAGAGGAGTACTGGCCAGGAGACATGGCAGAACACTTGATACACACCACACCACATCTGAATTACACGCCTCTGCAAGCATCTAGTGATCACCCGAACATCAGCAATCTTGGAGACCTTAACAAGTGGGGACGATTTGTATATCTCCAGAGCGATGACAATGTCGAGGACCGTCCGTCGTGGTTGGGTGCGGACTACAACATACCCAATGCGCCAAGTGATGGAAATGACGACGACGACGAAGACAATGATGGCGATTACCATAGCGGGCCTCCTGGACACCTTATAGAGGACAAGGATGGCAAAAAGTCTAGCTGGTGGCATGTAGGTGATGGCGATACTAGGGACCGAGGCGGTATCCGGCCAGACCCCACAGCCCCAGGACTTCCAGTCCCTTCGAACACAAATGAAGGCGATGAGCTTGTTGATGACAACGATGACAAGCATTGGAGATCAGAGCTGCGTTACAGTCGCCGCAGCTTCACTGGCAAGAAGGTTGTTGGTGGTAGAAGTGATGCGCCCGTCCCGTTGGTTGTAGTAGACAAGGGTGATGGTGTGGTTGACGCTTTCTGGTTCTTCTTCTACAGCTACAACCTTGGAAATGCTGTGTTCAACATCCGCTTCGGCAACCACGTCGGTGACTGGGAACACACAGTGGTCAGATTTCAGCATGGCGAGCCTAAGGCAGTGTTCTTCAGTGAGCATAGCTTTGGTGAAGCGTACACATGGGACGCTGTAGAGAAGAGTGGACAGAGGGTGAGTCTATTGTCCTAGCGCTATAATGCGAAACTAACATGCCTAGCCCATCGGCTTCTCTGCCACCGGTACCCACGCCATGTACGCGACAGCAGGTGTACATCCATACGTCCTACCCGGTGGCATTCTGCACGATGTGACTGACCGTGGTCCTCTCTGGGATCCCGTCATGAACATGTACTCGTACAAGTACGACTATCGATCTGACCGACTGGTTGCATCCAACCTTAACCCGCGCGCACCTACTTCGTGGTTCTATTTTGCTGGTCACTGGGGCGACAAGTTTTACCCACTTAGCGACCCTCGACAATACCGCTTTTTGGGCCAGTACCATTACGTTAACGGACCGCTAGGCCCCCGCTTCAAGAACCTAGGGCGACAAGAAATTTGTCAAGGCAACGGCGAGTGCGTGCTCAAGGGACGACCCGGAGAGAAATCACGCATCACGAAGAGGTGGACTGATGTCGGCGAAGGTGAGGAGATGAACGAGGAAGACGCGAAGCGCATCTTCGGTGCCGAGTATGATTCGGCGTCTTGAAGATGCGATTGACGAGAACATGACATTATCGATAGCGACGTTTTGTTGACACTCACTGTATAGCTGCACGGCGTTTTCTTGTATCTGTACCATACTTGGTTAGCGTCGTTTGGAGATACCTAAGTAGCACAGCATGCGCATATGTTTATTCATTCTACAGATCTTTTGCGCACATCAGTGGCGCTGTTCACAAAACAATTGAGTCTGACGTAGCCGTCGTGACTCAAGGGGCAACTCAACTCCATATCAAACTCTGCAAAGAGTTGTTCCTTGCCGTGCTTGGTATACATTCACCTGGACTCCTCGATTGGGTAAGTCAAGCGGGCAGCAACTCGCCGAATCGGGGCGATGATCGGAGAGGGCAAGATTCGGGGTATAGCTGTTTGTGACGCAACATTTTCGGATTTTCGGACTACGTTTTGTACATGACGATGCTTCACAAGGTTCTTCGGGATTCATGGCCACAGTCAGCTCGGCGGCTGCATCTGCATACGGAGCCGCACAGGGTCTGTTGGTGATGAGAATAGCATGCGGTTGCGCCTTGCTGCATGCAGTCTGACGGGCTTGTAGAGGTAGGGGTGAAGGGGTGCGACTCTATGAGCGCATACTATGCGTAATGGCGTGACCACTGACGAACTTCCCAGACGCGCATCATTTTCTAGCTGGTAAGTTGCCGTCGCTAGAAAATGTTTCAGGCCCTTCTTCGGTTTCGCAGAGTCAGGGCATACGTGTTATGGCGCAAGATAAGTCATCGTTGGCTCATCTCATCATCACTCAGAGCGTCTGTAGTAGGCGATTGGTGGGGGAGGTTGATGCGGCGGGGCTAAGCAGTCTATCTTATCAGGGAAGCTGCGAGCTGGCGTGCATGGGGGATGGTCCCTTCACCTGCATCTCCCTATTGTGTATGTAAACCTCAGCGCCCCAGCCTAGATTCAGCCTCTGACACATCTTCGCTGGATTATATTTCTGCTGCCTCTCCCAAATCTCCTGTTTCCTGCGTGTTTCAAACCCCCTTTAGATAAGGCTAATCACGTCCTGTGCTACCGGTCTTGCGACTGATCATCCGCCGCCTGCAGTAGACGGCTTGTTTCGTTTAGCGTGTCCCTAGCGACGTCTGTGTGGACATCATAGGTACAACTGCCCGCAGGCCATCCCCCTCACACCGCTAGGGTAGTGGTTAACGTCGCAACGAGGCATGAAGCCAACAAGACGATAAGGAACACACTGCTCCTACCGCGACGCGTTTATACTATCCTATTACCTCGCAACATACCCTATCAACATATCATCTGTGCCACGTCCTCGCGCCTTGCCTAAGAGGACTTGACTCCTCTATCGCCACTACTACAACCTACGTCGCTGCCCAACTTAGACTACTACGCCATGGCGGCCATACAGCAACATCGACCGCAGGCCGGCCGACAGGTCTCCTACAACGCACCAGAACCCACCACCGAGCCCGCGACGGCATTGTTACAGCCTGTACGAACCTTGGATCAGTCAGAAGAATGGGTCCTCTTCTCCCCGGGTGCGCCTTCTGCTACCACTCGCACACATACCACCTCGACCGACCGAACGCCACGGACAGCTGGCCTGTCACGCTTCAGCGAGTTTGGCTCACTCGAGACTGCTGCGCAGTCTGAACAAGATGAAGAAGGTGGCTCGTTTCTTGGGACAGAAGAGGAGCTAGACAGCTTAGACGACGGGCTACACGCCTTCCATGAGCCATCTGAATATGGCGCGCCGTTGAGCAGACTACAAAGCAGGCTGCAGGAGAGCGGTGATACTGTATTACCGACCCATGATGGATTGGGCGAGTTCAAGCCGGACGCAACTATGCAGGAACACATGTGGCAGTTTGAGCGACAGCGGCGACGAGCACCCAGACGACGTTCCAGCGTGCAGCGGCACCTTTCCGTCCTCGATGACCACGAGGAGACCAACACAGAGCAGGAGAAGCGACAGCGCATCGAGAGATGGCGACTTGAGCAAAGCAAAGCATTACTGGAAGAGATCGAGAAGGAGACAAGGCGGAGACGGCGAATGAGCATGGTCAGCAATGGAGCGAGTCGGGCTGATGCGCAAAAGGCGACAACGAGCACAAAACCACACACTGCGCAATCTGTGTCAGATGTGAGCGACTCGTCAGAGGAAGGCACTGAGAATCTCTCCTTCTGGCAACGGATCACGCGACGGGTCATCAGGGATCTTATAGGCCTGGATGAAGACACTCTTTCAGTCATCTTTGGAGAGGCCCTACCTGACGAGGCCGCAACACCCACACCAGGATCGCCCGCCATTGAGTTCTCAGCAGACAAGGCTCTACAAGACGCAGGCATCGACGCGTCCCGTTTTTCCGATGATACCTGGCAGACAAAGCTGCTCGAAAGAGTAGCCCAGGAACTGGGATCACTAGTCAATCAGCTTTCTGAGCATCCTGGAGCTTTCTCAACATACCAGCGAACACAACTAACACCAGAGTACGCGGGTCTTACACCAGTGATATCCAACACGACAGTCGTATCTGAGCCCCTGTCTTCGATACCGAGTTCACAACCTACCACAACCCCTTCGTCTGCTCAATTCGCACCTACTTTCCCTGCGCAAACCTCAAACACCTACAGCGAAGCATCACTATGGGGTATCGAAGAAGAGCCTACCGAAACCGATACTGAAGCCACGGCCTCCTCTCACATCCACAACCCTTCTGTTCCCACCACAACCATCGCCGATGACCTAGCCCGAGAGCGCGAGTACTGGGAACGCGAGATTGACGTAAAGATGATCTTCAACTTTCTCATGAAACGCTTCTCGTCTCGCCGCCCCAGCATCTCCTCTTCGCAACCTGTCCTTCCACCCCAACCCATCCGTACCGCTAGCGCCCCTTCTACAGCTACAAACGACAACAACCTTAGCTCCGCCCGCCGAGCAGCCATCATCCGCCAACACCACCCTTTGGTAAATCGGACGACGTCAGATAGTAGACTCCCCACGTCGTCCGCCTCTCACTCGAGGGAGTCGCGTCGCTTCGCTACTTACTACACACCTCCAGCCAGTGGCTTGAAGGACAAGACAAAGCTGAGGAGTAGCTCAAGCTGCGCTAGTCAGAGTACCAAGAAGAGCAAGAGGAGTAGCAACTCACAAAGGAATTACTGGGACCTTGGTGGTAGCGTAGGCAGTGGGAGTGTTGTCGGCTAGGTCGGCATACCTTGAAACTAGAGGGGAAGAAGAGACATGGTTGGACGATTCAACGGTCATCGTCATTTATCACTTTTTGGCATTAGAACGCACAGACGACATTACGCATAGCATGAGCATAGGTTATAGGAGTTGGATGGACTGGATACCGGCTTTGGATAAAGCCACGACAAGCGCATTTCTACTCTTTCACTTTTGGGCATCAAATCAGAATACCAATATTTAGATGTTTTTCATTACTTTCTTGTATGTATAAATATATTTACTACTCTTCCTACAGCATGTCTCTGGTCCCGTCCTCGACGCGATGTCTGCTGCGGATAGGCCGATTGTCGGAGTGGATCATGAGTCGTAAGGTCACATGCCTACTTGGCAAGATAACATGGGACTCTCGCTTTCGAAAGCAGTCCGAAACGGCTCATTTTGGGGTGCTCTGGTTTTGTACCGACGATATGCGGAAAAGGATAGCCAAGTATTACGAATTCACGCACCAAAGTCGCGTCATGATGCATTGTCCTTGTCCCGGACCCAGTGTTATCATGTAGCGCATAATCCCGCATCACGGCAGTTGGAATAATGACTTTGTTGCGTCGATGAAGCGTTCTTGACTGCGCTGAAGGTTTGATCCTCCAGTGTAGTCGAACTGGTTCTTGATTGATTTCTTCATTATCCTGCCGACCCCAGCCACCACCAATTCGCGCTTGTCGCGCGACACAACTCACGTACGTGTTGACAACGTACTGCGGCCCCATTGTTGAAGCTCTTTGTATCTACAGCCTGCCCTAGGCTGTCTCTATATGAAAAGGAAATCTGCAAATGAAACTTTTGGAAGATACAGAACGGGCTGGTATCATGGGGTATAAAAATGCCCTTGGACGCCGTTGAAACACTTGTTGAAAAGGCTCTTTACCCGCCTCCCAAAGATATGCAAATCTTTCTCATTCGCGATCCATGTCGTCGTTAAATCTTGATGTGCGATGAAGTTGATTCATGCGCACTGTATGCAAAAGGCATTAAAATTAGAGCTTGAGCTCCTTGGGCTTCTCCCAGGTGAACTCCTGGTTAGTGAAGTGACCGTTCTTAGCGGTCTGGAAGTAGATGGGGTTGATGAGGTTAAGCTCCTTGACAATGACACCGGGGCGAAGGTCGAAGTTGTTCTTGACAATCTCGACGAGCTCGTCCGAGGACTTGTCGGAGGTACCGTATGTCTCAACGAAGAGAGAGAGGGGCTCGGCGACACCGATGGCGTATGACAGCTGCACGAGTGCGCGGCGGGCCAGCTTGGCGTTCACGAGTGACTTGGCGATCCAGCGCGCAAGGTAGGCAGCGGAACGGTCGACCTTGGAGTAGTCCTTTCCGGAGAAAGCACCACCACCGTGGGCACCCCAACCACCGTAGGTGTCAACGATGATCTTACGTCCAGTAAGACCGGCGTCACCCTGGGGACCACCGATGATGAAAAGACCGGAGGGTTGGATCTAGTATCTGTCAGTATACAGTCGAATTACGTGGTGTTTGTGAGGAACCTACGTGGTAGACGGTCTTGTCATCAAGCATCTTCTCGGGGATGACCTGCTTGATGATCTTCTCCTTGATCTCCTCGCGGAGCTTCTCGGTAGTGATGTCCTCGCTGTGCTGGGCAGAGACGACGACGGTGTCAACACGGAGAGGGACGACGGCACCGCCATCGTGGGCGTACTCGACAGTGACCTGAGTCTTGGTGTCGGGTCGCAGCCATGGCAGAGTACCATCCTTGCGGGCCTTGGTCATGGCCGAGTTCAGCTTGTGGGAGAGGAGGACGGTCAGAGGAAGGAGCTCGGGGGTCTCGTCGGTGGCATATCCGAACATGATACCCTGGTCACCAGCACCGAGCTTCTCGAGAGCCTCCTCGTAGTGGAGACCCTGAGCAATGTCGGGCGATTGCTGCTCAATAGCAACGAGGACGTTGCATGTCTTGTAGTCGAAGCCCTTCTCAGAGGAGTCGTAACCGATGTCCTTGATGGCACCACGAATGATCTTCTGGTAGTCGAGGTGGGCCTTGGTGGTAATCTCACCGAAGACCATGATCATACCGGTCTTGGCTGCGGTCTCGCAAGCGACCTTGGAGAGGGGGTCCTCCTTGAGGCAGGCATCGAGGATGGCGTCCGAGACTTGATCGCTGGAATACAGTCAGCGTCCGTGTTCAGCGGTGGAGAAAGTCGTGGTTTCAGGAAGTGGGGAACGCCGTCTATCACATTACGCCGAACGTATACGTGTCTTATCGCTCTGAATAAGACGACCTCCGAAAGCAATTGAGAAAGAGAACAAGAAGATACGAACCAGATCTTATCCTACAGGTGTGGAGATGCGAAGTCAGTGTGTGTCTCACACGCATTTCGTACAGTCATAACTCACCGGGTGACCCTCGCCAACCGACTCTGAGGTGAAGAGGAAGGTGCTCTGGATTTTGTGTTAGACTGATGCAATTCATCCTGGAGGGGTACATTAGACATACCTTGCCGTTTCCGTTAGGGACAGTCATTTTGGCGGTTGATTTCGAAGAGAAGTAGTTTACGACTTTCGACGGCGTTCTTATAGACGGAAGAATAGGTTGGTGAGGAAAGGAGGGGTCGACTTGGGGGAGTGGATGATTTATGCACGTCGCAGATTTGGCGTCGTTCAAATTGCCGAACCCTTCGAAAAAAGCTAAAATCACGCTATTCAAACCCAGGTACCTCCACGGTTGTTAGGCCCTATCAGCCCAGTCAAACCAATCAAACGGCCTCCCCACATCCCACGGACTCCCCCCCATCTCACCGCCTCGGGCAGAACCCTTCGCTGAATTTGTGTAGCCGAATGACGCGCCGCATCATCTGAGAAACCATCCGCGAACATGTCTAAATATGGAACCCTGGTTATGGTATGTTAATCGCTCTTTCACGGGTGTCATCGCAGACTAACAAGATTAGGGGCCAGCTGGTAAGAAATGTCCTTCTACGAATTATTCGCGAGACATACATTGACGTACCTTTAAGGCGCTGGCAAGTCGACCTTCTGTACAGCCCTCATCCAGCACCTCCAGAACAGCAAACGTCCATGCTTCTACGTGAACCTGGATCCCGCCGCCGAAGAATTCGCATTCGAGCCCGATCTAGATATCAAGGACCTGATTAGTCTAGAAGATGTCATGGAAGAGATGAGCTTGGGGCCCAACGGCGGCCTGATATACTGCTTTGAGTTCCTCATGGAGAACCTCGACTGGCTGACGGACCCGCTTGAGGAGGTTACTGAGGAGTACCTCATCGTGTTCGACATGCCAGGCCAGATCGAGTTGTACACCCACGTACCGATATTACCAAACCTGGTGAAGCATCTCATGACGGGTTCACTCAACATACGCATGTGCGCTGCCTACCTCCTCGAAGCGACCTTTGTCATCGATCGACCCAAGTTCTTCTCTGGCACACTCTCCGCCATGAGCGCCATGATGATGCTGGAGATGCCGCACATCAACATACTGAGCAAGATGGACCTGGTGAAGGGACAGATAGCGAAGCGCGACCTCAAACGATTCGTTGATGTCGATGCAGATTTGATCGAGGATGATCCGGCGCGCAAGAAGACAACAACCGAGGAAGAGAGGAAATACAGAGACCCAGCGTCGACCGAGAGCCTGATGAGCGGATCATCTTTCCATAAGCTGAACAAGGCTGTTGCCGAGCTTATTGATGGGTTCAGCATGGTCTCTTTTCTCAAGCTGGATGTCCAGGACGAGGACAGTCTGGGTGCTGTGCTAAGCTATATCGACGACGCTATCCAGTTCCACGAATCGCAGGAGCCCAAGGAGCCGAAAGACATGGAAGTAGAAGCCGACATGTGAGGAACTATAGGAGTGACTGTGTTTGCATTGAAGGTGTTTTGGCTATGGAAGGCATATTTGGCATTTGTGGGCGTTCACGACTTTGGAAATATCGGGAATTACTTGGATGGGTCACGGACGACACGAGCAGAGATACGATACCCAATACACTCATACATATGACACATCACATCCATCTGTCATGCCACAGGGTACCAATCGGAAAAGGTCCAAGTCTAGAATTCTTTTTTCGTACTCGTATCTCTTCGGAGAAAGAGACTTGCTTATGAGCGTGTTACGAACTATACAATGTCGTGTTTCCACGGCCGCTTCAATGTACCGTACAGGTGGTAAGCCGACATAAAGCCTGAAGCTCGGAATTTGACTCTCATCTATGCATTTATATCCGAGTTATGACCTGACTTGGACCACCAGATAGCTGTTCCACATTCTTCTTGGTCATTGTCCGGCAACTCGAGTTTTGTTCGGAGCCGCACGGCGTTTTCGCCCGAGAAGGGTGACTGAAGGACGCCACCCATGGTCTTGTTCTGCAGCTCACAGGCGTATGTCGTTGCGCATGAGTGCAGTTATCGAACACGCTCCCTTGTACCACGTCAGTTGTTCAATGCCAACTGAGATGTAGCATCCATGGTATTCATGGCTCAGGATATCAACATCTTGAGCTTGTGCCACATATCCTCACCTGCGCCGGCTCCTGTCTCCACTAGCCTGCTGCGCTGCCTGCTGAGCAGCCTCGTGCCCCAGCTCACTGCGTAATGCTTTAAGCTTAGCTTCTACCTCTTCCTTCTTCTTGGCCTCTTTGTCCAATTGCTTCTCTACGTCCTCCATCTTTTGCTTGAAGAAATCTTGTAGTGCCTGCTCTTGTTCCTGACTGAAGGGAACTTCATCGCCTCCCTTCTCTGGCAGCTGAGCGCTCCGCTCGCCATTGGGCAGGCCGCGCCTAAGTCTTCCGTTTGCGCCCAGCGATGCCTTCTTCGAGCCGCCCTTACCGGCAGGTATGAGGTAGTTCCACTGGTCTTCCGATGTGAGGGCGTCGAAGAGGGCTTCGGTGGGCTCGTTGAACTGCACAACTTCGAGGAATTCGGAGCGCACACAGCCTGACCGTTCCTGCTCTGCTTGCATTTTGTCGTCACCATACTTTTCCAGCTGCAAGAAATGTTGTCGGTATTGCGCCTTCTCGCCTGAGATGGGCTGGAAGTGCAGTCTTATATCGATGTTGAAGCCTCCCCATCCTGTCTCGGTCACCTCAAACGGCGGCTTCTCGACCATGCGCAACGGGTTTTCGTATGTGTTGAAAATCTTAAATGAGACTTTGTTGAGCCATGCTCTGATATCGGGATCGCCGTCGGGTACTCGCACGTATACGGTCCAGCGCTTGGTGTGGTCGTCTGGCACGCCCTTGGGGCGGTCGGGGTGGCCTACTGGGGGCAACTGCCAGGCTTCGGAACCGATTACTGCGTAAATGAGTATATGTCTAGGCACATGAGTAGCGTCATGTCTTACTGAGGTTCCGGCTGATGCGCTTGTTCTGCCCATCATCAGTATGCGCGTACAGCTATATCAAAGCGGTCGACTTGCCTTGACGCGCTTGTTGGAGGCTGGCGCAGGCATTTTGGCGCAGTCGCGTGAATGTATAGCCAACAGGCGCGATGTTATGCTATTCACAAAGAGAATATGCAAAGTGATTCGTGCAAGTGGTGGTGTCGTGTATTTTGTCAAAGGTCAAACTACAACTCGCGCTGGTATGCAGGAACGGAAGCTAACAGCTGATCCTTGTCAGCCCCAGGCTCCACCTTATTTGCCCTGTCCGGTATCACCTCCCTTCGCGTCTCTTGTCCTCTCGTTGTACAACTTGTCTTGCTTCCCAGCATTCGGCTTGCCTTCGATCCTGTCCAACGAGTCTTCAATCAAGCCGATATGGCCACGTAGTGTTCCTTCAATCTCGTCCATGCGCGCCTCCTGTTCCTCTTCCATGCGGTCCAGTTTCTTCTCCACCCGAGAGCCTGTAGCATCCAGATGTTAGAATTGATAGATGACGACTTCATGATAGAAGGAAACATGAAAGATGGCGTGATACCTAGATAAGTCGCAACGCCGGCTACTACGGTGAGGTTTGTGCCGACCAGAACGAGGTCGTTCTTGAAAAGGTTCCGGATTGCCTGCATAGTTCGATTGGCGGAGCTTGCTGTTGTCTAGAGAGATGTAAGATGCAATACAGCAGACACAATATCGAATCGCATCTGGCCCTTTGAGGACGGTTACTCGACACTAATATAAAGCATCATGACGACATCGACTTTCTTCTGATAGGTAGAATTTTGAGCGCGATTCGCATTACAACGCCAAAATGCCTTTAGCTGGTTCACATTGTATGATACACAGATATATCTCATTGACAACACATGTTTGGTTATGAAGCGGCCCTGTATACAAGAAGCGGAAGTCTATAGCTCCTCCGCACAGATCCCTGCCTCGATCTTACGCGACGCGCGCGATGTGGAGTGACATCAGCACTCGGAGCTTCCCATCACTTTCCTACTAAACAATTGTGTGACTCCAATTGCTCACCCACCAACCATCAGATAGCACAACAATGGCCTCGACAACAGCCCAGGCTGCAAAGAAGAAACTCGTCGTATGCGGCGGCAATGGCTTCTTGGGTGTGTAACTCAGAAAAACTCCCAGATGATTGGAGTAACAGCTCCATGCCAGCACATCAGTTAGCTAACATGGCACACAGGTAGCCGGATATGTAGAGCCGCAGCACATAGGGGCTGGAGCGTGACCTCAATCTCGTAGGCCTATTCTTTCCCTCTTTCGACTCATCCCGAGCCTTTATTGACAAGATCCCAGGCGTTCAGGCACTCCACATTGGTCCTCCGTCTCTTCATCACAAACACCACCGGACTGGTCAGACAAGGTGTCATGGCAAAAAGGCGACATCCTCGACCCTGAATCGTATACCAAACACCTTGAAGGCGCAGATGCGGTGATACACAGCATGGGTATATTACTGGAAGCAGATTACAAAGGCGTTGTCAGCGGACGGGAGAGTCCCATCAAGGGTCTGCAACGGGCATTTAGCAAGACCAAGGCTGGAACCCAAAACCCGCTGACACGGAAGGAAGGGGAGAAGTTGCAGCCGCAGGAGAGTGATGGACAACTCACATACGAAATTATGAATCGCGACACTGGTATGTTGCATTTTCTCAAAGTCCCTTATCAGTACATACAACTAACCATGCTGCGCAAACAGCCGTATCCCTAGCCAAAGAAGCCTCCACACGCAAAGTTCCGACCTACCTCTACATCTCCGCTGCAGCAGGCACACCCATCCTCCCAGCACGCTATATCACGACGAAACGCGAGGCTGAATCTCTCATCGCCTCCACCTTCCCTACCATGCGATCCATCTTCATTCGCGCGCCATTCATGTACGACAGCAGCCGCACATTCACTCTCCCCATTGCGGCAGCGGGCGGCGTAGCAGCCATGATTAACAGTGCAGTCGGAGGACGGTTGACGTGGCTAATGGGAGCAGGAGGCATCAAGCCTTTGAAAGCGGATTTGGTGGGTGAGGCGGTCGTGGAAGCACTGGAAGATGAGGAGGTCAGAGGGCCGGTCGAGGTACCAGAGATTGAGAAGCTGGGCACGAGAGCGTGGAGGAAGAACATGCTATGAAGTTAAACAAGACACTTCGCCAAATGGCGGAACAATTTTTGATTCTACCACTTTAAAAGCGGCAATCGCATCTATCTACCGTACCGGAGCAAAGTCCCAGTACTTGTGGTCTACACAGGCGTGCTACAACGAAGCTCTCTTTCTGAGCCAAGCTCAGAGGCTTATAGAACACACCGTAGTGTGTACCGCTACGGTAGTTTGTAATCCAAGATACGACTTGGAAAGAAAGGACTCGAAGCTTTCTGAATGACGACCACAATACTGCGGTGACCTGAGTTTGGCTGGGCTTCTCCTCTTCATGCTTCTCCCACCATCGCATGCGAGCAAGCGCATATACTTGCGCGCTGTAGGTGTTCCCTGCAATCGCTGAAAGACTCAAAGGTCGGTTGATATCCAAGCTCACTTCTTACGGCCACCGCCTTGACTGGTCAGTTTCTTCTTCATGTGTTTCGGCATCTTCTCCTTCCTCTTCTCCCGCTTCTCTTCCTTAACGGCCTTCTTGTGTGCGACCTTCTCGTCATGATCCACGTGTTTCTTTCCACGACTTGGGCCCTTTTCGAAGATACTTTGATCAACCTCAGACGAGCTACCATCATCCGAGCCATCGTCTGAATCCTCGCCTTCAGATTCGTTGTTAACGACTCTGTCAGCAAGGAGGGCTTGGTATGGAAGGTCGGAGCCAGCACCAGCATTGACAAGCTCAGCATCGCGTTCAATATCGTAGACTTGTTCGAGTGTCTGTGGGATATATTGGTTGCGGAAGACATCGTCGTCTTCCTCTTCCTTCTTCCTTTCCTCCTCGGTCAACGGCTTCTTGTTCAACAAGCTACGGATGCTGTCTTCCATCTGTGGTTGCTCTTGAACAGTCTTGGCACCTGATTCACTTGTGATGTAGGCATAAGCCTTGCGCTCACTAAGCGTTTCAACATTGCGTGAGCGGAAGAAATCAGATACGTTCTTGATATCCATACGCAAAAACTCGAGAGAGCGGGGATGGTCGTGTTCGACGGCTTGCGAGACATCGATGATCCATTGCTTGCCTTCGTGGTACAGGACGTTGTATTCGCTCAAGTCGGCATGGACGAGGCGACATGTCTGGTACATTATGCGCATGTAGGCCAGCATCTCGAGATAGAGACTGGTCCATTTTGCGTCTTCTTCCTCTGCTGTAAGACCCTCGAAGCGCACATCCTTTAGACGAGGCGCGGCCTTGCCCTTGCGGTCGCCCACAAAGCCCATGACAAGAACGTGGTTTCGCAGCGCATGAGCCATTGGTGACGGGATACCTGCATCGTGTATTCTGGCCAGATTCCTGCGCTCCTTGTCTGCCCACATCCGTACCATGGCACGGTTGTTGCTCTTGTTGTATCCCTGTCTGAAGCGGAACTCGCCTTCGACGTACTTGGCGCGGTCCTTGAAGACAAGGATGGACGTTTTGTATACCTTGACGGCGCGGTGGATGGACTCGGCATCATCATCCGTAGCTTCTACCATAGCATGGTAGACATTGGCTTCTTTTCCTGTGGAGATGACACCGTGAATCTCTGAGATTGCGCCGCGGTTTATGAGCTGGAGCAGGATCATCTGAGTCCTTCGGTCCAACACTTGTTCAGTTGTCGCGCGGTCTGCCTTGTCTTTGTTCCTTGCGTTGCCCCCCGACGCGCCCGTCATGTTCCCCGTGAGGCGAATCTTGCCGGCATGCTTTGATAGCGATGCGACTTGATCATCGATGGAGGCATTTGTGTTGGCTGAAGGCTTCTGTGGGTTCGACTTGGGCTTGTGATCGTCTGGTATGTTCGTATCGTTGAGCTTTCGCTGGCGGTTGTATGCTTTGGTAAAGTCGTGGTGGTCGCCCGATATCAGTTCAGGCACTATTTCATCGTCGTCATCAAATAAGTCGTCAATTTCGTTATCCTCATCGTTGGTTGTTGTCTCTGCCGGTGCAGATTCTTCGACTTGATCGACTTGGTTCGCTTGCTCGACTTGTTCGGGCTGTTGCGTTGGCAGCTCAACTCCTCCGTCGGTGGTGGCCATGGTTGGTTGTGTGGTATATTCTTTCGACGCAAAAAAAAAAGTTAGGCAGGGTCTCGTCATGTGAATGATTCACGAATTTGCCCCACGAAGCCCACGAAGCCCCGCGGTTCTGCCCAAGGCGGTGAACTCCATCGAAAGACTAGCCGGTCTCGACGCGCGCTCTTCGTATTCACGCGCGTCTGCGGCGAGACGATTGCAACCGGTCCCAACCAAGGGATGTCACAAAACCCCTGAAAATGTGAGGTAACGCATCAACACCGAGCCAAGAATGGCACGTCGCTATCCGACCTGAGGTGATGTCATGCTCGGATGATCGACGACTACAGGATAAGATAGGAACGCGTATCGCTGCTCATCGCAATCTGGGGGGGGACTGTCAGTCTGTTCCACTTCGAGTGCGCAGCAACACAGCCACAGCGAACAGGCATGTCCAACTCAGCCCAAAGCAAAATAATTAGTGGCTTGTCAGAAGAAACACAGGCCAGGCACATCCTCGCTCTGATAGGCCTAGACGGAGTCGCCGTCATAACGGGCAAGGCGGCTGGACTATTCTGACACACCCTAGTCTCCACCGCCGGCTTGTGAAACACTTCAGGAGGGCCATCACGACCACTCAGGTCTGCGCAGCACCAGAATTGGACACACCATGGAAGGGCTGCTGATGCCGCATGGACTCGTCCCATGGTCGCTGTGCTTATCCCGGTGGGTACCGAGATTGCTTCGCAAACCATTTCGCGACTTTTAATAGTCGGAGCTCCTCTGGCACGCAGTATTGCTTTGCATTCTTTATCCGACCTTTTTATACCTCACACTCTCTCAGTCAGACGTCTGGACGCCAGGACGACCGCATTCATTACATTCCTTTTCCCAACACTCTCTTTGCAGAGCTTTACATTCTTTCACTACTACCGCACCGTACGCATTGTTGACATTGTGTCTTTGCGCGTGAACTTCCCATCACAGTAACGGGCTTTTCTGTGAAGACTACATTCTCTCGAGCTCAGAAGCCTTTCTTTTGCGCATTAGCAACTTGATCTCCGAACTTCTCAACCGCGTCCAAACTCAAGAAAATGCATTTCTCTACATACACTACGGCGAGCGTGCTGGCTGCTTTGGCCACAGCTCAGACCTTCACCGATTGCAACCCCATGGAGAAGAAGTGCCCCAACGACCCCGCCATGCCTCAGACCTGGGAAACAGACTTCACTGCTGGCAAGGATGCTATCAAGGGCTGGAAGCAGACAGCTGGAACTCTTAACTATGTACCCGAGGGTGCTGAATTTACTGTTGCCAAGAAGGGCGATGCCCCTACCATCGGATCCGAGGCCTATCTCCACTTTGGATACGTCGAAGTTGTCATGAAGGCAGCCCCTGGCGTTGGTATCATCTCCTCCATTGTTCTCCAGTCCGACAACTTGGATGAGGTTGACTGGGAATGGATTGGAGGTGTAGACAGCCGCGTCCAGCAAAACTACTTTGGAAAGGTATGAAAAGAAAGTCAACTGGTTTCATCTTTCGACTAACATGAGAATCAGGGCAACACTACTACCTATGATCGCATGATCGAGGCTGATGCTCCCAACAACCAAAACGAGTTCCACAAGTACGCTCTCAACTGGACTGCTGAGTCACTTACCTGGATCGTTGATGACAAGCCCACGCGTACTTTGAACTTTGCTGATGCCAATGGCGGCAAGAACTACCCGCAGACGCCTTGTAATGTGCGCCTTGGAAACTGGCCAGGTGGTGACTCCAAAGATGAAGGTACTCGCCAGTGGGCGGGTGGCAACGTCACTTACGACGATGCGCCCTTTACCATGACCGTCAAGTCGATCAAGGTTATCAACTACTCGCCCGGAAAGGAGTACGAGTGGACAGACAAGACTGGTGACTTCAAGTCTATCAAGGTCATCGATGCCGGTAACACAGAGGGTGCTCCTGTCAACTCTGTAGCTATCGAGGCCTCCGCTACTGCTCCTGCCGCTCCGCTCGAGTCTGGTGTCGACGCACCATCCGCTACTGGCGAGGCTGGAAACGGTTCTAACGCATCCACCACCTGCACTGAGAGCGAGCAGTCAGGTGCGACACCTGCCCCAGTTGACGGCGCTGCTGGCGGCAAGTCTGACTTCAACTACCCCACTGGTGGTGCAGCTGTTCCTCAAAAGTCAGGCAGCCCTGACTCTCCCTCTGGCGATTCTCCCTCTGGCAGCGATAACGGAGATGAGCCATGCGAGTGTGGCACTGCCACCGTTACCGTCACTGGTGCTCCTCCTGCTATCACTGACGCACCACCCGCCACTTTCTCGACTGAATACTCTGCCGTCCTCCCTTCGGATGTCGCTTCATCTGTTGCAGAGACACCATTGGCCAGCACTGCTCAGACACCTATTGTCACTTCTGCAGCACCTTCGTCTCCTCCCTACCCAACTGAGTCCGGCATTGAGATTGACACTAGGTCTGCACCTGGTGTCGTCGTACCCTCAGCGCCCACCGGTGCCCTACCCCAGCCATCTGGCAACGCCACCTTCTCTGCGCCCCCAGCAGAGTTCACTGGTGCTGCAAGCCACATGAAGGCCAGCGGTCTCGTCGGTGCTGTTGTAGGAGCTGTCTTGCTGGCCTTCTAGAGTCACTTGATAGAGTTTCGATAAGACGAAACGTTAGACTCGCATTGGGATTGTAGTGGGATTATGTTGGTGTAAATACTTTCAAGTGGCCAAGCGTTAGATACGCATGCCGCATTCATGGCGATGAAGAAATATTCTCGTCTTAACTTCTTTCTTCCTCCACTTCTTCGTCTTCTTTTTCTTTTCTCACGTAGACATTGCATAGCTATATGGATGGCACAAAACGGTACAAAATAGTACATAACGCTACATTGATGTCAATGAATGAAAACATCATCTTCAAATATGAAAACCTCATACATCTATCAATCCCATTTTGATATCACATTTTTGCCTTCGATCCCTTATTTTTGCTCCAATTCATGGCAATGCAGAGGAAAGCCTGGAAACTGTGCTCCGAGATGATCGAGTGTTCTTCAGCTCACTCCACGGCAATCATTCACTACCACCGTCCCATCCATGACCACTCACACGCCATTCAAATCTCCCTAACTACTACCACCCTACCCGGTATGAAAAGTTCATGCCGCCTTGCAGCATGCGATTCATCACCTATCACTTCCTGTCCATCGCGCCTTTTGCTGCTCTTCTGCAGATGACACCATTTCCTCTTCCTAACCCATCTCTTTGGTTTTGGTATCATGGATGTGGTTCGACAAGGACGGGGAACAACGACTAGCGACGGAATGAAGATGCTACGTAGAAGCTTTGTTCCGACGACCATGATACATGCACAGCATTTACAGAAGGGGATCTTGTACCATGCGCAGGTTTGTTCATGTCCTGACTCTGCTTCTTCGTGCGAAGTTTCGTGAGAGATCTCATGCTCATCCTCAGCGACGTACTCGGCTAGACGCGCAGATGGCGACTGCGGTATTCGTGCTGGTATCCGCGCTGCTTGCTTCACCGGCTTGTCCTGCTTTGCTTGTTTGCGCTGCTTGGCTCGTTTCTCATGCTTTGCCCGTCGTTTCCGTCGTTCCTTGTCGTCCTGCTTGTCCCAAATATCCCTCCTACCCCATCTCGTTCGCCGATGCATTCCCTCAAGTAATGAACCCGGGATGCAATGTAGATGTGCCGGGCGATTATAGGGATTGATGGGAGCATTTGGTGTGCTGAACGGTGTTGGCGTGACGGGCAGCAGGTAGGAGAATTCAGTATCTGGGCGACATGTTGGAGGTGACGTGGCAGTGTTGCGGCCTGAGAAACGCGCTTCGTGGTATAGCCTTGACTGGTTTGTGGCAGGGTGAGTTTGGTGTTGGATTTTCGGGGAGGCGGATGGTGATATAGTCTCAGCTTTGTACGCTCCTGCAGGAATATGGCGTCCAGACAATAGTTCTGCTTCCTCCTTGAACTTCACGACCGATCGTGGTGAAGGCGAACACAAATCGCAAGAGGCCTCAGTGGGCGGCTTCTTTGTGTGTATGCCAGCAGATCGATCACAATCATGGCATAGAAGCGGCATGCCATCCTCACTTCCCAAAAGTTCATCGCTCTCTCTTTTGACTATCATACACCGGTAAAACTCCCGAGCAAGTGGAGTTGGCACACGGAGTGGCGATCGGGACCATGCCTCTTGAAATTCGGAGAAGGAAGGGAAGCGTCGCGGTGTTTCGGTATTGACTATTACTGGTACTACATCTTCTTCAGCATCTTCGTCGACATCTTCTTCGACATCTTCGACCTTGACTTTGACTGGAGTTTGAGATGGCGATCTCACACGGGAAGTCTGGCGTCGTGGTATCTCAAGACTGGCTGCAAGTGGAGCACCATCTTCAGTCTTGATGCGGATTGGTATACGTGAGGGTGTTCCTTGGTGTTGCATTGTGCCGCTCCTTAACTCCGGTCTCTAGATTGAGTGCTCGCGACTTTCCTGACAATATTAGAGATTCGGAGAACGGAATGTGGCGTATGATACAAATTCCAGACCACGAAGGCTTGATGGATCAGTGAGGATACAATTTTCTGTATGCGCGCCTGAATAGTGACCGAGCGGCGATAAAGCTTAAGGAGTGCTTTAGTTGCAGCTGGCTTCGTAAGGTTGAGAAGCCTCTGGGGGTTTTTTGTTCATCTACTGGACATGGTGTGTACGTGCACGAATGATACACGGTACTGAGTGGAGTCGTGTGTTCAGAGTCCAATCAAGTCTTTGTAGATTTGAGAACATGTCATCTCTCGGTATTGCGCACCCCGATATGGTTGATTGATCAACTCTGGCTAAAATTATAGACACGTGAACAGTGTGATAAAGACGCTGTGACAGCGCGAAAGACGGGGGTTTAACGTGGTCGCGAACCTGCTTTCACTACACATAGTACGATACAGTTACCCATCAACCAGCCATTGACACTGACAGTGATCTGCGCGCACCTCTTGTCGTTGCTCTCGATCTCCGGTACGTTTTGTGGATCGTGACATGGAGGCTGCAAGATTACCCTGAGAGTCTTCTAGGCGCAACGCTATCTCTTCTGAGAGTGGAGCCAGGGTGCCGTCCGATCCCATAGTCACCTTCTGACAATAAGGCGTCTTGCCACCTGGCGCCCATTCTTCAAATAATCTCACGGAGTAAGGGAAGTCCGAAAGTCCTGCAGTCTTAGTTTTGGCGGTATCCGGTGCAGTGCTTGTCACTCTAGTGACGTATATGTAACCTTCAAGCAGGGTCTCGTTGAAGACGCACTGCCACAGGTTACTCCCAGGCTGGAACGGATCACCCAGCGCCGAAGGATGGGCTTGTAACTGCCCATCGACGGGGAACTCATCCTCGGCGAGCAACACGACTTTGTCGTAGGTAGTTCGAAAATGATAGGTAGACCCATCTTCGTTCCTAGCACCTGCAACCACTGACAATTCCAAGGGCGGGATGTTTGGTATGCCCTCGCCGTGACGAACGCTGGTGTCGTTGGATGGTGACCCTACCGCTATCATAGTTGAAGTTTCGTTGCCTGCCGGGGCAGGGAGTACACTGAGTTGAAAGGTTGAGTTGGATGCGCACTTCCATGGATTCAACTGATTGTCGCTTGCTAGGCATGCCGAATCCTGTTGTTGTGGAAGTTGAATCGGTAGCGCAAAAATACCACGGCGAATACCGCTGGTGTAGTTGTCACTTGGAGAGCCGTCACTCGCAGTGTATACAGCAGCGCTTCGATCCCTATAGGTACGTCGTTAGCGGCATCCTAAAACTGGGCATTGGAGTAGTTACCTGATAGGAGATTGATCTTTTATAGCTAAAAGACTCAACCCAATCGTAAGAAGCATCATGAATTGTATCGCCAACAGGGCCAAAATGCGTTGCTGTCGAGACATTCGATGCCACATGCATCTTGGAAGATTGGGCAGAGGCTTTTCATGCGCATCAATCGCGTTACATGACGGCACAAAAACCTCTTTCTCATTTTGATCTGGGCTGAGTATGGGGGCGGAAAGAATGTTGCTCCTCTCGAACGGAACAATCTCAATTCCATCCTCGATCTTTTTGAGAAGGCATGTTCCAGAGTTAACTCCAGGTGTGTCTGTGGACTGAGAGCTATCGTAATTGGATGGAAAAGTTGTATAGATACTCGGAAGTGGTTGAATACTGTTGATAGACCGGTGAGGCAGCCGCATGAATGCAACCAAGATATTTTGGGTTGATATTAATAGAGAGTATCCACGTTGTCGGACCAGCCAGACACTCAGAATAGTAAAAAGCGAATGGTGGAACAAAGAGCGGACGAAAATAACAACTTATACATACCCAGATTTCAGCTCGACATAGAACATATAAAGCTTCGTCCCTAGACCATCAAGCTGTTGAGCCCAATGTGCCGAGCTTGCATATCGCTTTGACTACGCCGTACTCATACCAAAGGTCGACATCCAATCGCAGGTCTATTACATCCAAGGATGATTGGTTGCCGGTGCATCCTTGCTATAAAATTAAGGATGGATTGAGTAAAGAGGCTGAAAGTGTATTCGACGTCGATTTTGGGTATTGGCTCTGCGCTCCCCATAAGGGCTGTAGGTGGGCCGTGCAATAGCCGCCCATACTCACGTCGGTCGTTAAAACGGCTATCACGTCTGTAAAGTCAAGCTCTAGTCCGAATACGAACGGCTGCCGCGATAAAGCGGAATCATGAAAAGTTGAATGGCTTCTGCGCAATCTGCAAGCATGGTGCCTGCCGACAAGTTTGCATTTAAAGCATCGTCAGTATGTTCCGCGCGATGATGGTCCGTTCCAATACAAACCCTACGCGTGGAATCCCGGCCTGTATGCTCGCTTGAACAAGCAGCAGGAAGCGTTGTACTGCGCGTTTGTGTGTGTGACCACGCGCGAGGGCGTGTGTGTATGTGACGGGTAGCCGCTGCCCAGACGTGACGTAGGTCGCGTCGAGGGCCCCAAACAGAGCTACGTTATCAACCTGCATCTGTTTCGCTCTCTTGCGATATGGCGCTAAGTTTGAATAATTGCAACGCGAACTTGAGCTTGTAGTTTGTCGGCTTCTGTCATGGAATGCAAAGTACGGGGACGCGTTCTGGTAAATTATGTGGGTGGTTGGGTTAGCGCTCCCGAGCGGGCAGGATCGACCCGAAGCGCGACAGGACCCGGCCATCGTCCTCATGAGCATCCAATGACATCCTATGTGTCCACTCTCCAGCTTTCTTGAGTGAGGAAGAAAACATGGTCAAATTACGCGACTGCGTTGCCTTCCCTGAGACGCAACAACTCCAGCCCTGCTTTTATCAGAAGTTGTTCAAACCCCAGAGTGGACGCGGAACCCGTCAGGTTTCGTAAAAATTGCCCTGTTTCGAAACAAGAAACAATGCACCAGCGTCATCTCACCATTGTTTCGAAGACAGGCAATCTTCAGGATTTTATACTAGATTGTGCATGTCTATGGCTTTGATACAGCTGACGTACATGGTAACCCTGGCGTCAATCGATGAGATTCTAAACATGCCAAGCTGAACAGTTAGGAGTCTAGGCATCAAAATGTCCACATGCTTGCTGACGATACCATGCTTTCTGCTAATATTAGGACATATGAGAGAAGTAGCTTGCCTGAAGCGTCCAAGGCTGTGCGGCAACTAAGCTTGAGTGGTGCTGATCTCATCAATCAGCCCCGAATGTGTGCCACCATGACGGGAGAAAAGGCTCAGCCCCAGATGTGAAGCGTATAACACCTGACGATGAACCGTGGGGAAACGTGTTTGTCGTTCACTCTCGATCGGTATACCAAATTATAACAAACAATTCGACAAGTATGGGCATATTCCAACGATCTTCTCGCGCAGCGCCCACATCTCAGGCATCGGTGGCTAGACAACATGGTATCCATTGGCCACTTTTCGCTTCCAGCGCCTTGCTCTGCGCTCTTTCAATCGTCATTTTCAGTTTGGTCAGTTCCATGGTAGCATGGCTGCTGGACCAGAAGCATCATGTGCACACATATCAAGTGGACTGGCCTGGAAATCCCACCCAAATCAATGTTGAGCCTAAGAATCTGTGGACCGACCAAGGGCATGAAAGCAACGGCCTAGCAGTGTATGGATTCTTCTTGGGCATCTTTGGCATGTTGACGGCATGGAGGATGAGGAAGGCTGGCCAGGTATGTCGAATGAAACTCTTCCCACCTACTCGGACAGCATGCTGATCGTTGTAAGCAGGCCTCAAGAAGCCTTACCGCTCTCACCACCTTGCTGCTGATCGGTACCATTTTCAGCCTATCAGCCTTCATCTTCGTCTTCGTAGTCACATACCAGACGACTGGCCAGCGGATTCGCGAGCCCATCGCCATCAACGCAGCCGGCCTCAACTACCCGGCTGAGAAATGGACACCTGAGACGTGGTTCAGGGCTATCCTCGATCTTCCCCTAGCCCATGGAGCGCAACACGCTCAAATCAAAAGCAGGGTTAGAAACATGGAAGCGTGGCGGTGGATTTTGCTTCCCCTTCTACTTGTGTATATAACCGCATCGTATATTGTAGTAACGACTTGGTTACGGCAGCGAAGGAGTACGACAGTACGGGCAAGCTCTGCTGGTTCTGTGGAGAAGACAGGAGCTCGATGAATAGGTACATGGGTTGATTGCACATGGCGGTGTCACACTCCAATTTTAGCGAGTTAGCAAGGCAGGTGCGAACCTCGGCGCGTGACAAAAAAGTCCCCCACCAAGCTTCAACTCGCTTCAACACACACGAACACAACTGCACCTACACCTACACCTTCACATACGCGCGCCCTCTCCTTCTCTCTCTCTGACAAGAGGCTTCGCCATGGGCTGGCTCACCTACCTCGCCATGCCCGCCGTGCTTGTCATAGCCATGCGCCTGCTCTCGCTCGTGCTGCCCGCGAAGCCCGCCCAGCTGGTGTCGTACTACGCCTTCGCAATAAGCTCCTTTACACTCATGTTGAGCTGCGCCCTGTACGGCACACTTGTGGCTATACCTCTACGCATGGTGGGCTATGGTGGACTCATTCAATGGACGGTTGCGCGAGCGTTCAAGTGGTGCATGTGGTTGGGCACTGGCGTGACGTTTCGAGTGACCGGGAGCATGAAGAAAGAGGGAGGTCTTAGTGGAGAAGACGCCCTCAAGGACCGTCCAGCAGTATTCGTGGGCAATCATCAGACGTGGGTTTCCAAGGCTCTCTTGCCAGGCCAAGCCTCGACCGCGGTGCTGACATTTTTTATAGCGAACTCGATGTCCTCATGCTCGGCTGCATGTTCCCAAAATACACCTCCGTGACGGCCAAGAAGTCGCTCAAGTTTGTGCCTCTACTGGGCTGGTTCATGGCGCTCTCCAAAACCGTCTTTATCGACCGCGCAAACCGCACCTCGTCTCGCGCTGCATTCGACACGGCTGCTCACACGATGAAAACAACACGCCAGAACGTCTTCATCTTCCCTGAAGGCACGCGATCATATGCCTCAAAACCTGATCTCCTACCCTTCAAGAAGGGCGCGTTCCATCTTGCAGTACAAGCACAAGTTCCCATTGTGCCCGTCGTTTGTGGTAACTACTACCACGTTCTGGACGTCAAGGGCAAGAGATTCTCCCCAGGTGTGGTGGATGTTACCGTCTTACCGCCAATACAAACGAAGGGTTTGACGGCAGAGCACGTAGATGGCCTGGTCAAAAAGACAAGAGATGCCATGATGGACGAGCTGATTCGATTGAGTCACGTCTCAGGTGTGGGAAATGGCGAGCCGCTCCCGAGATCCAGTGGAGTCGATGGACAGGAACGTAGTGAGCTAAGGAAACGGAATTAGCATTTGCACACTTGGCGCAAACGGCGTTAGGTGATGCTTGATATACACATTGATATCCCAAAGACGATGACGTCGGACTGAGTGACACGTACATAATCTTATTTTGAGTAAACGAAAAGCGATTCTAGTCCAACATAATGCGACAGCATGTTTTCCAGAAGCTCGTTGCCTCATCTCGTTAGCATGATGACTTGAAATCTGGCAAGTCACACCAATACAAAAACGTTTATATTCTCAAAGTTGCACAGGTAATGCACTGGAACAGTCGCCAAGTTTTTCGTTACACCAGTAGTTTTGTAGCACGACGAAAATCTCTAGGACGGACCGCGTATGTAAGATATAACTAAATGGATACGAGCTTCATGGAAGTGCAGAAGGGTTGAAGCTCGGCAAACTTTCCCCGCATACAGGAATGCTCGGAGTGAGCTACCCCACGGCTACCCCTCCTATTACCCAATGAGGCATTCCGTTCTGGCTAGACGCGTGAATGTAGGACATCGTGTACTTGCATATTAGCACATATAAATATGCTCTGGCGGCCACTCGACTATTGCCCTGTTGTGGTCATCCATCTGAGCAAAGTCAAGAGCAAGATTCGAGAAAGCCATGGCAGCAAGACAACCGGGTTTAGTCAATGAGACAAGAGTCGGACAGGCGTTCAGTGTCAAAGGACAAAGTGCTATAATCACAGGAGCTGGTTCAGGTATTAACTTTTCTTTTGCAGCTCTGCTTCTCAGCCATGGCTGCTCTGTCCTCATTGCCGATCTTTCACTTCGACCCGAAGCGGAGAAGTTGGTTCAAGAATACAGTACCAAAGAACAGGATAAACCACGAGCTGTCTTTCAGAAGACCGATGTGACGGACTGGCCGCAGTTGAAGCGCATGTTTGAGGTCGGCGTCCAAGAGTTCGGAAAGATCGATATCGTGTGTCCAGGGGCAGGCGTCTACGAACCCCATTGGAGTAACTTCTGGCATCCTCCAGGCGTCGCCGGCAGCGCAAGTAGAGACCAGATCGACGGAGGACGATATGCAAGTATCGACATCAATATTACCCATCCAATCCGTACGACGCAGCTCGCCATCTCACATTTTCTTAATCCACCTCCCGGCGTACAGAAAGCAAGTGCGCAAAATCCAAAGAGAGTCGTCATCATCTCCAGCATTGCCGGCCAAAATCCCAATTTGCATGCGCCCATCTACACGGCCGCTAAGCACGCCATGAACGGCTTTGTACGCTCCTTAGGAACGCTCGAGGCAGAAATGGGAATTCGCGTCAACGGCGTGGCACCTGGCGTCATCAAAACACCCCTGTGGACCGAACATCCAGAAAAAATGACGTTCATCGATGAGACCAAGGACGCGTGGGCAACGCCCGAGGAAGTGGCCGAAGCCATGTTGCGATTGTTAGAAGAAACTGAGCTGGGCGGAGGCAAGATCCTTGAGGTAGGTGCGAAGCAGACGAGGCTAGTAGAGGCATTCGTACGTATTCACTGACCGTGTTGAATTGTGTATGTATGCTAACAGCTGGTGATATAGAATGATCCGGGACCGAGTGGAGCAGGGCATACAGTTAGCAATCTTCAGGAGCAGTATAGCGAGGTGTATGGGTGGCTGCAGCAAGATGGATGGGGTGGGGGGATTGGCAAGTCGAAGTTGTAATGTTCGACTGTTATCGTAGTATGAAGAAATTGCCTCATCCACAGTATGCTACCAAGACCATCGTGATAGGTCCAACATGGCTCGAGCGCGGAAGTCAGAAGAAGAGGATTGTTTTCTCCGGATCGGACTTTTGGCCGAACCTGCCCTGGAGGCATTCGCGGGAATTTGCAGCCCGCGGCTAAAAACATACGATACAGTGAATGCCTTTGCTCCGGTGTGCTGTAGAGTGTTGGCTAGAACTCAGGACAAACAAGCTTCTTCGTAATGATGAATTGCACGTGGATGGCTCGGACGACAGTGCTCCGATGCGCCAAAATTTCCGTCGCTAGTGGTTACCAGATGCGGTGAGAGGGCTGACTGAGCGAGCGCCTTCTGCCGTGATTGCCACTTGGTGACCCAGTGTGACGCTGTTTTTCCATGGAGGGGCCCGGAAGGATGAGGGGCGCTACGTATGAAAGAGCCCCACCGCTGCAGCTGTCCCAACAGACACTTTTACTCTCCAACCTCATACCACTTCATAAGACACTCACATCACCTGTAACATCAAGTGCACACATAGACACTTGCATTCCTCTTTACATTCCCCATCCACACACATATACCCACCCACAATGCCTAGCTCCCTCGACCAACTCAAGGCCTCTGGCACCGTAAGTATTTCCACAATCGCAACACCAGGCGCGCGGAAGAATTATATCTAATCAATTCGCCCTACAGACCGTCGTCGCCGACTCTGGTGACTTCGCTACCATCAAGAAGTACCAGCCCCAGGATGCGACCACCAACCCCTCGTTGATTCTCGCCGCGTCTAAGAAGCCCGAGTACGAGAAGCTCATCGACGCGGCCGTCGCATACGGCAAGAAGAACGGCACAGACCTCGAGAACCAGGTCGACACCACACTTGACAACCTGCTGGTACAGTTTGGCAAGGAGATCCTCCAGATTGTTCCCGGCAAGGTCTCAACAGAAGTCGATGCGCGCTTCTCTTTCTCCACAGAGCAGTCCGTAAACAAGGCGCTGCACATCATCGATCTCTACAAGGAGATTGGCATCGACAAGGAGCGCGTCCTCATCAAGCTCGCATCCACATGGGAGGGTATCAAGGCTGCTGAGATCCTGCAGTCCAAGCACGGCATCAACTGCAACTTGACCCTCATGTTCTCACAAGTCCAGGCCATCGCCGCCGCCGAGGCTGGTGCCTACCTCATCTCTCCCTTCGTTGGCCGTATCCTTGACTGGTACAAGGCCGCACACAAGAAGGAGTACAAGAAGGAGGAGGACCCCGGTGTCAAGTCCGTCGTGCAAATCTTCAACTACTACAAGAAGCACGGCTACAAGACCATTGTCATGGGCGCATCTTTCCGTAGCGTCGGTGAGGTCACCGAGCTTGCTGGTTGCGACTACCTGACCATTGCTGTAAGTTTCGCCAATAAACTGTTCTCTTACACATCTGACTAACGGACCCAGCCCAACCTACTTGAGGAGCTTTACAACTCACAAGACGACGTCCCCAAGAAGCTCGTCGCCGAGGATGCCAGCAAGCTTGACCTTGAGAAGAAGACCTACATCAACGACGAGGCTGAGTTCCGCTTCTACTTCAACGAGGACCAGATGGCCGTCGAGAAGCTCCGTGAGGGTATCTCAAAATTCGCTGCTGATGCCATCACCCTCAAGGACATCCTCCGCAAGAAGATCCAGGCCGCATAAATTGCTTAGTCCGATAACGGCCGTGCAATGAGCATCTGAAGACTCTTAAGGCTTTCGTAAATAGATAGTAAAATTGACATCAGATGTAAAATGACAAGCTGGCCCCTGTGAAACCATGAATGTAAACATTACTCAAGATTACACGTGAATGTATGCGGAATCACGTCAAGTCGTGGGCATGGTAGGTATTAATCATTCGTCGGTTCTGGCCCGGCATTAGTGGAGTTGCGTCACTACATTTGGACAGCCCCGCATTCGGCTTTCAAAGCTCACCGAGAGACAGCTGTCTGATAGCTTCTCTCTTCCTCTCCATCAACGCCTACACAATCACAATCCCAAAACACACATCAATACCATCAATACAAATCACATAACCGTCAAAATGGTCAAAGCCGGTACGTCCATGTTCAGTAGCTTCACAAGCTTTCCCCATTGCGGCATGGTGGGGTCGTCGGGGTGCGTAAGATTGAGCAGATTACCTCGACGACGCGGCACTCATCGGTATCAAAACGCTGCAAAGAGGTCAATTGGACAGTTTTGGAGCCATTATGAGGACCCTGCTGTCATTCCCGCAGCGTGGACCATTCTTGGGTCTTCCGGGGGTCTCCAATCAGCTCTCCTTACGCGAGACACCTTGATGGCCTTCTACTACGTGCTCAGACATATCTACGTTACAGAAGCTTAAAAACAACGTTATACTAACGTAATATCACAGTCGCCGTCCTCCGTGGAGACTCCAACATCAAGGGTACCGTCACCTTTGAGCAGGCCGACGAGTCCTCCAACACCACCATCTCATGGAACATCACTGGCCACGACGCCAACGCTGAGCGTGGTATGCACGTCCACGCCTTTGGCGACAACACAAACGGCTGCACATCCGCCGGTCCCCACTTCAACCCCCACAACAAGACACACGGTGCCCCCGAGGACGAGGAGCGCCACGTCGGTGACTTGGGCAACTTCAAGACTGATGGTCAGGGCAATGCGCAGGGAAGTGTCACAGACAAGTTGATCAAGTTGATCGGCTCCGAGAGCGTCATTGGCCGTACCATTGTCGTCCACGCTGGAACTGATGACCTCGGCAAGGGCGGACACGAGGAGTCGAAGAAGACTGGTAACGCTGGCGCTCGTCCCGCTTGCGGTGTTATTGGCATCTCCAACTAGATGTGTCATTAAAAAAAATCTAGCGAGCGAGTAGTCTTAGTATAGCCAAATCAATCTATCTATGCCTCTCACAACATATATACAGTACACATGTGGTAGTCGTGCTGTTAACATATGAGATTTCATTTATTTGTTGCCTATTTAGACTGGCTATTCGCCCTGACCACAATCATGTCCCCGCAGCTGCATCAACTCGCTTTGTTGGAGATGACCGAATCTCATGTGATTGAGCGCAGCTAGCAGCATACGTGGGCAATTGCAGTGAGGGTAGGAATGTTGATAAGAGTGTTGTACCAATGTTCAGACACTAGAGCGATAGAGAACAAGACCAGAGCCAAACTCCACGCCAATGCAGAAGGGTATCGATGCTTACAGTCGAGAGGGAATGCGCGCCCCCGAGCGCCCACAGTCGCATGTTGCGCTAGAGCTCAGAGCTTTTTTTTGTAGGCTCGAAGGAACTCCCGGCAATCACGGTAACGATTCTTTTTGAGTTCCAATAGCTGTTGGCGTATCCGTTGTTTGTCGAGTTCCAGCTCGCGGCGAACTCTTTCTGGTTCATAAAGTTCCTGCTTTTGGTGAACTCTTCTTTGTTCGGCTTCCCGCTCTCGACGAACGCTCTCATTCCGTATATACTGGGAACAGAATTCTTTCCCATAACAGTGGAGTCCGACATGCAAAAGAAGTGGACTACTGTAGTGATCAAGGTCAGTACGAAATTAGAGGTATGTAAATACCACTTAGCGAAATATTAGAAAGAGGTATAAGCCACCGCCCCCGTCCTAGCGAGCACTAGAACAGAACAGGGGGAGCGGGAAAGTTATTACATGTTGACGACACGAGTATCGTCCTTGAGAAATTCACGGCGAAACCTCGCAATTTCCGCGGCAATACCGTTGGGATCCTTGATGTTCCTCTGGCGAAGGTCCTTGAGCACGCCACGGAGACCGTCATTCCAACGTTGCTTCTCCTCGGACGTCTTACCGGGGTTGGCGGTTCCGAGCTGAACAAGCAGTCTGTCACCTATTAAAGATACAAGTTAGTATCTGCGCATATGTACAGTCGGGAAAACTGTAGTAGTAAAAAGAAATGAAACTCTGAATCAAAGGAAAAAACTCCTCTACAACGCACCAGTAATGGCAACCTCCCTGAAGTGCTGATCAGGACATTCAGGGTCGTTGCATACGCCACCAGTTGACTCGTACTGGCAGAGAGGCTTCTCTGGGTTTATCTGATGACTGAAAGTCAAGGATAGGAAGCCACCTTGCACATCTTGAGCATAAGAAGGATGGTAACGGTAAGATTTGAACATCCGTAGCGGGCTCTCGTACGGAGTGAACTTGGGTGGTTGTGGTTCTTCGATCTCAGCGGGCACAGGCACCTGATCTAGATTAGCTAAGCCTCCCAAATGGTGATTGACATACAGGTTCGCCAGCGGCCACCGTCGATGTTACCTCTCGAAGTGGTTGCAGCTCTGGCGCTAGATCATCGGCCATTTCGGCGTCCTGATGCGACGGGTTCTTTGCTGATATAGTCTCCACGTCGGGCTCTGGAGTAGATTCATCATCTGATTCGCTGTCATCTGAGCTTTCATCAGACGACGACGTAGCGATGTCCATAGCACCATCTTCCGCTTCAGCCTGGCCCGTGGGGGCGTCGAGGTGTGTGGAGGCATCATCGCCGCCCTGAACCCCCGGGATATCTTCGTCGACGTCGGGCGGTTCATAGGCTTCTTCCTCTTGTGTACCAGCTGGCGAGGTTGCGAGCGAAAACTCAGGTTTGGTCTGGGCCTCAACTTCCTCTGCCACAGGGGCTTCTGGGACGACGACGGGTTCTTCGGGCTCATATTCCGGTTCGTACTCTTCCTCGTCATCATCTCCCTCACTAACGGACATGTCGACCTCCTCCCCTTCTTCCGATGGCGAGGGCGCGGTGGTGGGCTGCTGAATCGTTTGGTCCACAGGAGCGTTGGCACTGGCCTGCACTACCTCATTCGCTGTGGCTGGAATAACATGGACATTGGCTGGCAAATCTTGCGGTTCAGTGCGCTTCTGATATGCTTCCGAGTAGACGTGGTCTTGTTGAGACAACACCTGCGATGCACCAGCTGGCTGAAGAGTGACGTCTTCCTGCGAGATCTTCTCTGAGACTTGGGTGTGACCCAGATCATCTGGTCCAGTTGAGACATCAGGCTCCGCTGAATTTTGCCCAAGTCCAGGGAAGGTGTTCTGAGGAAGATTCCAAGCTGGAGGAGAGTTGTCGATTGTGGCCTGTACCACGGGACGAGTTTGTTGAAGTGATTCATTAGAATCTGAAGATTGTTCGCCCTCAATTTCATCTTTCTTGGCACGTAGTTGTGCATGAGACATGCCCTCGGTGTCAACACCGAGATCCTCCAGCTCTTTGCTCAGCTGTTCCTTGTCCCTTGCGATCTTCTCGTTCTGCGCCGTCAGCTGCTCCAGCTCTTTGGTCAGTTGAGCCATCCTACTCGCGTTGCTTGCAATCTCGGCATCCAATGTAGGCAGTCTGGATTGAATCTCCGCTCGGCGCATTCGGCGCGAGTCGTTGCCATCGTGCGAACGTGTCGGTAACGATGTGGAAGTCTGAAGTGATGAACCTGGCGTCGAAGGTTTTTGGCTCGAGGATGGTGATGCGACAGTGGTAGTAGCTGCTGCCAACCTATCTCGCTCTCGCTTTTCAGCAAGTTTCCTCTTGAGTGTCTCTCGCATGGCCACCAGCTGCTTCTCCTTATCTACCAACTCCTTCTCACGCATAACCGTATTGGGGGTCTGCGAACCAGACGTACCAACGGTGGCGTTTGATGGGGTCGCAGGTGGCGCACCAGAAGGAAAGTTGGGGAGATTTCCAACAGTCTGGCGCGAATTCTGGCTGGCTTGGAGAGAAGGTTGATCGTCGTCGATGTCCATGTCGCTACCGTTGGACTCGTCTTCGCTGACGTCTATTATCATTGAATCATCTTCTTGATCAGCGTGTGGAGACTGGCCTAGAGGCCGTGTGTGAGGAGTGACAACGGGTGGGAAGGAGGACTGTGGTTGAGATGCGGTAGGTGCAGGTGTATTAGACGTCGAAGATGCGTTCATGAAGAGACCCGGGATGGCAGAGAATGATGGCACGTAGGCGGTACTTGTAGGTGTTTGCGACCCTGGGGTAACTGGCGCAACTGGCGCAACCGACGGCTTCTGTCTCGCCTTGATCGCTTCCAAGCGCTGCTTAATCAACTCGGTATTACGGGCTCTCTGTTCGTCTGTCACAGGAGGTTTAGAAGTAGGTGGGGTCGCAGGCTGGGATGTCTTGGTAGCCGGCGCGGGAGTAGTGGTTTTGGCGGTGGCCTGTTTCGCAGCCTTTGCGGCCTGAAGGCGTGCTATGTAATCTTGACGGCCTACTGGCGACGCGGCAGACTTGGGCGTGTCTTGCGCAACAGGCGTTAGTGGCTGCACAGCAGGAGCCTTGGAAACAGCACCATTGCTCTTAGGTGGCAGAATGGGCGCAGGTTCCGACGGCAGATTCGCGCTCTGGTACAGGCCTCTCAGCAACTCGGGATCAAGCTGTTCGTGAGCTAGGGCGCGATAGGTGACGTTGTTGCTATGCAAGAGCTTGATGAAGTGTTTGGCCGCGTCGCGATCCTGCTGTAGCTTGTCCATGATGGTGGGTGGACTGTCGCCTCCGCCCTCACTCAACTCGCCATCTTCGCGATCGCTATCCATGACCTCTTGTATGCGCTCTGGGGGTGGAGGTAGTGAGGGCGGCGGAGGCAGCGAAGATGGCGGAGGGAAGTGAGATGGGGGGAAAGCCATGTTGGGGAATGGCGGCGGCGGCGGAAGGTTGGGAGCACCTGGCGGGAAAGAGCCATTCTGGAACAGGGCCCAGAGGGCAGGATCGGGAGGAGGGAAGGCGGGGAACGGAGGCTGTTGGCCATTTGGCGCATACGGGGCGAGGTTTATGCCCGGGAGCTGTTGCATCGGCGGGGGATGCGCGTAGTTGTTCGCCATGACGCGCGATGGAGAAAGTGGGTGGTTCACGAGATAATATCGCGAATCGCGACAGAGCTGCCCGGGCTAATGCAAGCGGCACGTGATAGCGCACCGCAGCCAATCACGTCATGTGTGGCTGTTGCTAGGGGCCGCGGGCGGCTGTCATTGTTTACGTGCAGCGAGTCTGTACCAGGAAACCATCCATAGGGTTTCTTTTGCACCTGCCTGCACCCGCGTCCCCGCATACCACTGTACATACAATGTCAATAGACTAGGCCCAAATGAACCATTCGGATACGACAACATCACCACCCCGGACAGGACGACACCAACATCACCCACCACCATGAGTGCGCCCGGGCCCGCGCCAAATGGCCGCCCCTTCGCCCGCAACTCGCGCAACACTCCCTTTGCCAGGAACACATCGCAGATGGTCTCATCGCCGCTGAATGAGAACGGAGACTCTGGCGTGCCAGGCCACCTGCGCAACCGCTCCCTCACAAACCTCACCAGCCCGACCGGGCTGGGCCGCAGCGAATCGCGCCTCCGCTCCAACTCGCACCGCAACAGCACCCCCGTCGGCACCTTTGCCCCGCAGTTCATCTCGGAAGAGGAGAACGAGGCCCCGCGTCTGGGCGGCATCGTAGAGGGCGAGAACGACTTCTCTGGCAAGCGCTATGTCTGGCTCAGAGACCCCACCACCGCCTTCGTCCGCGGATGGGTCGTCGAGGACCTGCCAGGAGGACGAATTCTAGTCCAATGCGACAATGGCACCCAGCAAGACGTCGAAGCCGATGCCATCGACAAGGTCAATCCCGCCAAATTCGACAAGGCCGACGATATGGCTGAACTTACGCATCTGAACGAGCCCTCAGTCATCCATAATCTCCATATGCGATACCAGGCCGATCTCATATACACCTACTCCGGACTGTTTCTGGTCACCGTGAACCCTTACTGTCCACTGCCCATCTACTCAAGAGAGTACATCAACATGTACCGGGGGCGGAGCAGAGAGGAGACCAAGCCGCATATCTTCGCCATGGCTGACCATGCTTT